TATTTAACTTACTTGTTGTGTTAAATGAATTTGTGAAACAGAAATAATCTACGGCATTCAGCGATAGTAAGTAAAATAGAAATTGCTCCTTTTCATCGTCTGACCTCAGAAAAGCGTATCTCTTATATCGACTCCTGTGAAAGAAACAAAGTCAGAGTCAAAATAAAATGCACTGCAGAATTATTGAATCAGTAATTTTAAAACATTTTTTTTGTCTGAAACTATGGTTAGAGCATACAAGGGTTTCCATGAAAGATTAGCAATCAATTTGTTTCATTACTGGCTACAATTGTATGATAACAAATGTTGCCTTATACTGATCAGCACAATCTCCTGTGACAACATTCCCCATAAGTTTTTTTACTAACTAGGACACGTGTATATTTATCAATAGCAGCATCATATAATGTATTTATTTATGCAGACATCAGTGTTGTGGCTTCTGTGTGCCTGCACAACTCATCTGCAGATACGTTTTTGAGGTACCCATACATACCTCTATAATATATCTTTTGGATGAGAACAGTCAGTTCTTTCCAACCAGTGACTGCTCATACACACAAACGTAAACAAAAGTGACTGCCTATAGCATACTAAGCTCTATGGTGTTATACTGTAAAATACTTTATTTTAGCTGGAAATCATTTTCGCTAAAAAGACTTTTTGGGTGGTTTGTATGAAATTGTTTTTACTGATTTCTGACAAGTTGAATGTAAAATATCTAAAAAATGGTACAATCTGCTGGATTTTATTTTCACTGAGTTATTCCTTCAACGAAAACAGCGAACATTAATTCTACTTAAAAAGTGAAGGTTGTAATTTCTGGTTGTAACTCCTTATACTAGCATAAGTTTACACTTGATATTTGGGTATATTATTGTTACACCTACTTGCAAAGTTCATAATCAGATAGCAGCTCTTTAAGGTGTTTTGATAATAATTTCCTTTCCAGTGCCAATCTGATCCATGCCCTGGCATATCCAACATCAGTCTTTACATCCTTCATTGACTGGATTTTTCTGAAACGAGATAATTAGGAATTAGTTTTGATTAAACCACTTGCTATGTAAGTTTTTGTGTGTACACGAAAACAGTTACTACGTTCACGTTACAGGAACTCGGCGTGCCGAAATTTTTAATCCGTTGTGTTTGCAGAGGGATTACAGCAGTTGCGTTCACGTTATTCGGGACCCACTTAGGACTGACTCGGCTCAAGCCAAAATCACGCCCTCATTCGTCGATCTGTTGGCCCTAACACATAGTGAAACTATATTCATTTGTTGCTATGGTGTTTATTACGAGCCATCGTGCACATGAACGGCAAAGAAGATTTGAAACACAATTATTTTTTCACGTCAATGTAGTATTGCAAGAAAATAGCAGTTCCAGCAGCACATAAATATGCGTAGCTGACGACGGTTTGCATTCATTTCCTTTCCTTACAGCATCCGACCATATACTAGTATATCTGAATTTCCTGTCACCGTCATTTCATATTAGTATGAATCAACTTATGTTTTCTTAAATTTACCACCAAGGCCGTGATTTCGGCTCGTGCCGAGCGTTCAGACAGCAAATCTCGGCACGTGCAGAGTTTCGGTCCCAAGCTCTATCGGGACCAATCAGTTCTTTTCGCACGGCCACCCGGTCCCGACTGTTCACACAAAGTTTCGGCAGGTCCCGAGTCTCGGCACGTGTCGAGATCTCTAACCTGAACGCCACTAGACTGGTTTGCAAGAACCATTTTGACAAGATTAGCATAATTTGCTTCTGCTATTATTTAGACATTTTACATATGCCAGTTATAATCAATATATGAACAGACATCAATAAATCCTACTGGTTGGAGAAAATTTAAACAAATGACATCATTGTTGCTTCCTAACATGCCAAATGACTCTTGGAATTGGAAGAATGTTTTCACTTCCATGTTTCATTATATCGCTCTCATGTGGACCAATTAAAAAATTCTTTCTGTTTTTCATGGCTCAACTTCTCATCACCATAATCTTACATGATTCGGTATTATTATAGCAAATGCCCTGTATCCATGGCAACCATTTACAACCTTCATGACAATTCTAATTCAGGCTTTGAATAACTACATCACATCAAACTAATGTCTGTTAAAGTTGTAATGTTGGGTATACATTGGCCCTCACTAAGTCGCAGGTGTCGGAATCCAAGCAAAAACTGTTACTTATCGAGGCTCGCGACTTACCGAGAGGGCCTTGTGAAAGGGGGAGGGGTCATGCATTGTAAACATATAAAAAGCACATATACACCCATGGGTTTGTTTATAGTGTGTTTACTTTATTGACAAAAAATCATGATTTTGTTCATTGCTTTTGAAGTTCGAGTCAGAAGTTGTTTGTAATCAGCTGAACATTACAAAAGATTCAAATAAGACCTTCTTAAAATCCCCATAGGATAGTTTGCATTGAAAAGTAATTTCTGGTATCTGCGTGTTATAGTCCCCCCTTTTTTTAAAATTTAGATGATTTTTGTTGCCACTACGTCCAAGTGAACTTTAAACATGGAATATTTCATACTCCCTAGGCTAGTCATTGACTGGTAGTCATTGAGTGAAAAGTTCTGAAACGCATGAATCACAAACCTTCAACTTATTTTATGGCTCATTTTACTGCAGGATACAGCTTAAAAGCAACAATGTCATCAAAATTACACATGGTCATGGTGACAACTACCAGCATTTCTAAGTATGGTAGTTGCGATGATTGTACGTTCACCTTACCTGATGTCGTGTGTTAGATCTGTAGGCACTGGTGGTAATACTGGATCTGGTAGACCACTGCCACGACGTCTATGACCAAGCAATGGGGAATCTGGACTCAAATCTATCAGTCAAATCAAAGCAACATTACAATTTGCACTTTACAACTTGAATAACACTGACTCGATTAGTGTTGCAGGGCAGAAATGTAGAACGAAATAATGACTTGTATAATCACAACCTAAAGATTGAGTTGCCATTATTCTGTTCTATATTTGAAGAACTATAACTTAAAGAAATAGAAGGTGCATATGAGATGACAGTAAAGATGTGTTACTAGGGATAAAATAAGAGAGGATTGCATAATGTACATACAAAGTTGTCTACAATGTAATAATGATGAAGAAGTTAAGGTGTCTTGTTGGAGCAGGGAAGCTGACCACCATACATGTGTTGTAGATTAAAGTTTATTTTCAAAGCATAACAATATCACAACAATGTATGGCTCAACAGATTTATTGCTCAGCAATAACGTAAGGCAAACTTGAAGGGTTTTCATTTGTTTGTATTTTTGACTAGGTATCCATAAACAAGGGGATTCTACTCAGTATCTATCTCCTTTGTATCATACAGTACAGTTTGAGCCATAACTCTCAAGCTGGTTTTGCCGTTTCATAAAAAATTATGACTTTCAAAGAGTTTATCATTGTCATCAACAAATCTTATTTGTTGCAGTATTTACCTAAGTGGTGCGACATATTTAGGCAAATTACTCCATACATTTAGTTACATTGCATCTGATGGTTTTGAAAGCAAGCTTAGCCAGGTTTAAGCCAGCTGAATGCTAAGTTCCTTATACATGTATACTGTACTGTATGTACATAGTTAGGTATGACAAGTTCACACCTATTTGCCGTTTGTTCCGTATCAATGTAACCCCTGAAGTTCAAATTAATTGATTAATAAATAAACAAAAGAGAACAGCTAAGAACACAGCACAATACAATTAGCAATAAGTAACAAAATATTAGGACTCATAATTCTATATTATGATAAATATAACATAAAATATTTAACAATATTTAATTTAAAACAAATTTGCAAAATAAAATAGCACAGCAATAACGTGATGTATATATTTACATAAATTGTCACATGTCACTGAAAATTCTGTTTTCATTATCAAATTTCCAAGTAGCCAGATCATGGTAGATGGTAAAAGTAAATGATCCCCCTAGAGAAAATTGAAAGCCAGTCACCCTAGGTAGATTGCTAAAAACCAAGAACACCCTAGGTAG